CTTTAGGATGAAGTATGGCTTGGGTATTCATAGTTTGGAGTGTTTATGGTTGAATGGGATTGAAAAAAATTTGTTTAAAATCAAGAAGTAGAGTTTGACATTTAACACCGCCACTTGAGCATCAAGGTCATGCCTAGCAAGCAGTCTTCTTCTTGTTTTCAGCACTCGAGCACCACATGCGCGTTCATCGAGCGACAGATCTCGTTTCTTGATCTTCTTGAATTGTTTTCGACACCTTTTAGGACTCTACCAACCCCCAACGATTTTGACCTTTATTTACAACTTGATTACCTTAGTTTTGTACATGGAATACGGAAATTAAATTGAGACCTAACACCCATAATATATCAGGCTTCAAGTTGCTGACGATGCTGGAAAAGCTTGAACTTGACATCTGAAAGTCCTGCACAAGAGTTGTCATAAGATTTGGCTGCACATTTTGGTGGTGTGATATTGTGCAGGAAGTTCAGGTAGTGATGGTAAATGGAGTCCTACGAAGTCTATTGAAAATATCGATTTTTTTCTGCAAACTGATAAGTGTATTATGTTTTATACACTTATTTGGGTTTCTATTCTTAATTATTTATTGACTAATTGATCGGATATCTTATTTAGGTATTGTAGGTAAAATATGACTTGAATGCATTTAGATGTAATCGATGTGAAAAATGTGTTTTAAAGCTTAAGTCGGATTTGCATCGAAGCAATTGAAGACCAGCCCTATTGCAATTGATCGATATGAAGAATTAATAGGGCAATAAAAGGTTATGCACAAGTTTCGAGAGTTAATTTCAACATTTAAAAAGTTTGGAGATTTAATTGTAAACTTCTAAAACTTACATCGGATCAATTACGGATGACTGAGTAAAGATGAGGACTAGGTTGCACATAGAAAGGGACTTGAGCTGAACAAAGGAAGAAATTTAGATACCAAAATGGACAAGGGCAAAATATTATGCCTTGCAATCACAAGGGCACAGAAGTCAGCTACAGAGAGTAAAATCAATAGCATGTATGATCCTAGCTCTTTGACCTATGCAAATCCGACGGCCATTATTTTGTTTCCTTGTTTTGTTCAACATTTTCTTGGAAAGCAATTGGTACATGTTCTTGACCTAATTTTTAGGGTATAAATATATTCTTTCATCTTCAATTGAAGGGGGGCTATGAGGCTCTTGTACATATATTCCGTATAATCAATAGAGAACAATGGGCACTTGGAGGAAAATTTTCATATTTCTTGCAAAGTTTTGAAGAAGCTTTTGTTGCAAAACGCCAAATTGATATCTTTTTGTACGATATTACTAGAAGTTAAAGAAGAACGAGACGTTCAATGAGATAATTCAAAAATCTTTGAAGGAATTCAAGATTATTTTCGTCTTTGTTCCAAGGATGTAGTATCTCATGATGTTGGCTAGTTGTATAGGATAACACTGAACCATATATTTTGATATTAATCCTATGGTTTTGATATTAAACATTTGTTTGTTTTGAATCAATGTTGGGAGTTTAATGATTTTTAATTAATTGGCTGATAAGGTGTATGCTTTCTATTGACATTCAATATAATTGTCCATATTTTATATGATCCAATTTGATGTTCTTGTGATTTAATGCATTTTCATATGTTCGCCTTCAGGATAGAAATATTAACGAATCATATGTGAGAATATATTTAATTTTACTTGAAAGATATTATAAAACAAGATATAAAATTGATCTTCAGGTCCAAATAAATGTTGTCAAATTGTGAAATTCATATTAAAACGGATGAATGTAGGTGGATTCGGGGTCCTCGTGATTTACAATTACTTGTGTTTCTTACATGTTTCCCTACCACCTAGCTAATTTGATTAGGTAAATAATTAGATTAATTATAGGTTATTAATATAAATCTATCTCATCTAATTGTAAGTTATTCTATTAGAGTTAGTTTAATTGAAAATTAGATTACATACTTATTCATCATATTTGAACTCACGTTCAGTTTCCAACTTGTTTACGATATCGTCCACTTGTAGAATATTGATCGGTGCAGATCAAAGTAAATTTTGAAGTTTTTCTTTGAGAATAAATTCTTTGATAATTCAAGGGAAAAATATGTCCAAAAGCTAACCTTGGGAACATAAGAATTCTGAAACTTGTCTGTTTGGCCTCCATGAATGAAACCTCCTCTCAAGAACTCAAAGAAGATGGAAAATTCAAGATAGAAATGAAATGGAATAAATATTGGCCAGCTTTTGTATTTTAGTTCTTGAACTGCACTGCAGTGCATTCATTTTGTTGTGCTTTCCGAAAATATCTACGTGAAAGGCTGATATTTTCTATCTCCAGATTCTCGAAGGTCCCTCTTCTTTCCTGAACAGAGAGCCAATCTACTTGGTCTTTCAAACATATTTCAAGTTTTTCTTATTGTTTTCTAAAATATTAGGTGGGCCTAACAGTTAACTGCCAAATTTGAACTCCACAGCCCTAACCAGTACATCCGCTATGGCGGTTTAGTCCCATGGACTGGCTTTATCCGATCTGGAGCTTGTTACCGGACAGACTCAGCGAGTTTGAATTGACACATTCAGTTCGACACGTCAACGAAAACAATTCTTGATATTGTTGGTATCAAAAATAAAATATATTATAATTGTAGCAAAAAAGAAAAAAAATCGTAGATGAAATCAAATATGCAGTGCCAAATCCCTTGTAGAGCCCTTTTGAATACATAACCAGCCATTTTCATGAAAGTGTTAGAATGTGCCGTATATTGTTTGGTCCCGTCCAGTAACATATACCCTTTATTTATCTGAACTGAAAGATTGTTCAAGAAAATTGCACATTGTCATGATTTTTCATACAAATCTTCCATAGCTGATCTGCTGCTTCATTTATGGCTTCTTCTTCCTCCATTTTCATTTTCTGGCTCAATTCCAAAGCTTTAGACCTTAAACCTTCCCCACTACACTTCTCCAAAACCGCCGTCTTTATAGCCTTTGCCACCTCTTCTGCCCGAAACCGTCCATCTTCATCTCTCGCGACCTCCACGGCCGCACCACCCTCGACTATCATTCTAGCATTTATAGGCTGATCAAGTTTCAAAGGCATGGCTATAAGTGGAACCCCAAAATAAATGGTCTCAATTACAGAACTCCATCCACAATGACTCATAAAACCACCAATACTTGAATGTGCCAAGATTTCTGCCTGTGGTGCCCATCCCTGCAGAATTTTCCCCCTCTCTTTCACCCTTTCGAGGAATCCCTCTGGCAAGAATTCATCGACTCTTACGTCATTTCCAGCAGGAAATCTAACAACCCATATAAAGTTTACATTGATTAACTCTAACCCTACTGCTATTTCTTCCATCTGTTCCGTGGACAAGTAATTTTCACTGCCAAAGGAAATATACACAGTAGAAAACTGATCTTTTGTACCCAGCCATTTCTTGATTTCTGAATTTTCCTCTTTATTTTTAGCATGTGTAACAAGAGGGCCTACAGGAACCATTTTTCTTTGGCACAAGATCGAAAGATAATCAATGTATTTCTCCTCTATTCCTTTACAGGTCTTGATCAAAACAATGTCACGAGATTGTTTGAAAATCCCAAATGCAAAACCTTCTTCTGCATCTTTAACTTTTATTGATTCTGCTTGAGCTTTCAGATCCTTTAGTTCGTAATCCCGCTGATATATTGCGGGAAAAGGGAACTCATCATTCCCGTGTGTATAACCATGATGGAAAAATGACATTATTGTTGCCCCAGAAGTAGCAAACAAAACGGCAGGTATACCTGTTGAAACATAATTTAAACATATTTGTATTTATCCTCTCTAATTTTAAACTTTCAGAAGAAATGGCTCAATATGGAATTAAAGCATAAGATCAATTCTAAAACTCTCTCTATAATCTTGATGAGATGGTTTTCATTAGAGGTCTTAAGTTCGAGTCTCGTAGCACTAAATTTCTTAAACCGTGCACGTGACAAGCCTCTTATAACGAGAAAATGAATATGAAATGCTCGGAAGGACGTGTTGTAAATTTACTTAAATTGTCTTTTCCATGACGTCGTAAACCTTTACATGACGTGATTTAACATAATATCGTATATAAGTTCCAAATTCAGGTCTATGTCCATTTATTTATGAAAATTGCACTTGAATCATTTATTGAAAAATGAATCTAGTATAAGTGAGGCGAGACATTTTAGACATGGTTTAACTTTATTCCGAACTGCTATAAGTTTTAGACGGACATACCTTGTGATGAAGCATGTTTGGGAGCCCAGGGCTGGAACCCATCATATATCAGCAAGTCAGGCTTCAAGTTGCTGATGATGCTGGAGAAGCTTGAACTTGACATCTGAAAAGCCTGCATAAGGGTTGGCATAAGATTTGGTGGGACATTTTTGGTTGTGTGATATTGTGGAGGAAGTTCAGGCAACAATGGTAAATGAAGTTCAACAAATTCTATTGAAAAATCTGATAAATCTTTCTGCAAAATGTTCTTGATTGAATCAATATTGATGGGTGTAGAACAAAAGTATATTTTGAAATTTTTCTTTGAGAGTAATTTCTTGGATAATTCAAGAAAGGGAAAAACATGTCCATGTGCTAACCATGGGAACATAAGAATTCTGAAACTTGTTTGGTTTGTCTCCATGAATAAAACCTTTATCTCTTGCTATTTGATTACAATTATGGAGGCTGAAGGGGAGACTCTCAAGGTGAAAATGGCTTAGGAGTGAAGGCAATCAAAGTCATTATATAAAAAAGGAATTTGGAAGCCGGCAAATTTAACACTTGGAGCATATTGGGTATGTATAGGTTATATCGTTGTTAAAGAACAATCAACACTCGTACTATCAATCAACATCGAGATCCCAATTTATGAATTTTTAAATTTAAAGTGAATTTAAATATTCCAATATATATATACTCTCTCTATCGAGTACAGAGTAAAAACTATATCTATATTTCAATTCCAATATCTCTATTACGAATTAAAATTTAGAAATTATCAAGTTCGTGATTCTTACGTGAAACTGCTTCAAAGATTCTATACTTTCTCTTAAAACATATAATTTTCTAGATTGTATTATTTTATGATAAGTTTCCTTCTCTCGAGTGCCGAAATTTAAACAATTAATTCATTCAATTAGTGACTAGTAATTGAAAGCATTAAAATCAATATCACAAATATACGGAATGGGAAATTTCAAAAAAATAACTAAATAAAATTAAAACATAATCTCAAGTTGATTACATCAAACCCTAGATTAGAAATTTAGTTCATGAATATAGAAAGAGACATAATCAATTTCATAATAAAAAACATGTAGAGAAAAAGAAAGATGAAACTATTTTTTATGGTTGAATCGATCTTTTTCTTGATGTTTTTCTTGCTTTATTGATGATTTCTTGTCTCTTACCCTCTTGAATTGTTGCTCTTGACTCGATGAATTGTAGTTGAAAAGTGATTTTTAGGATTGTATTTATATCATCATGAAATCTTAAAAGAGCTAGAGTTGGATTGGAATTTAAGAAGAGATCAAAATATTTAAAACCCTTTTTCTCGCCGGCCACTCCCTAGCGCCACAAGCGTGGATACCCAATTGAGGTAATTGAAAGTGCGTTGGAAAGATAATTCAGATGGCTACAATTTTACTTCAAATAACTTTATCCAATTCAAATGCTTACTATGTTAAAAATGGGTCTCAATCTCCAACTAAAAATCTTGAACATACTTGTGCGGTAAATAATTGATTTGTGAAAATATTTTGATCGTATTTCACTCCATTTTGACTTTTAATTGCATCCTGATTACTCCTAGCAATATTTAATTATCGTTTTGTAGTCCGAATTAATTATTAAAAAGTTACAATTAAGTCCTCCAACTTTGAATTTTACCCATTTTCATCATTATTCACTTCTTTCTTTCAATTTAGCCTCCAATCACTAAGTTTCACCAAACCAACATCAACTTCTTTTTTATTCATGTTAACATCACTCTTTTCTCCAAGTTTCAAACCATTGACACCAATTCACCTAACATATAAAACACACATTAAAACGTTCTAAAAACTTTTAAAGCCAATCAAATTAACAAGTTTAAAAGGCAAAAAAAAAAAAGGGTACCAAACTCATCACTCTGTCAAATTCGATAGATTGCACGGAATTGAAACCTTAATCATTCGCACCTTAAATATCAAACCCGTGTAGTGCCCTTTTTATTTTGATAACAAACCATGTTTTCTAGTGTACATGGCTTCAAAGTAAACCTTGTATTAAATGAGTATAGGCTTGCAGTGTCAAATATATGTCAGGTTGCCCAGCTTGTTAAAATTCTAATCTGAAAAGGATCATGTTGTGCCCAGCTGTAGGGGAACGTCACCCAAGAAAAAGAACCCTGAGCTATCTAGTCGGCTCTGATTATAGAGGGGACGAATCCAGGGCTCGAGTTCAGCTAGGGCAGATAGCGAACCTTGAATGCTTACAGTCAACGTCCGTGATAGTGATGTTGTTTATTAATATTTAATTAAATAATATTCAAAAAAAATCGTACGGACTAAAAGAATGTACAAAGTTGAAATTATTTATGTGCTTATATCAATTTTATGTGCTTGTGTGATTTCACTTTTTCGCAATGGATTTTTTTGTGAAAGAAAAGTGGAACTTTCTATTAATTAAATAAGTTTTGTTGAAAGTCTCTTTATGACACTAAGACCAATTTTTTTTACAAATTCATTCGTCATTAATTGACTAAACTCTCAAATAAATTGATTAGAGAAAAAAATAATCAAGGAGAGGGACAAATCACCGGTTAAAATGTTTCTGTTTGCATTAAAACAGGTAAAATGAACATATATTATTTTGTTTCCTTAAGTGTGAAAAATTAATGCTTGCCATGATGGTAAATCTGTCAAAATACTTTAGCAAAGGTCATAGGTTCAAATCCACTTTGCACTTGTTTTTGGTAAAAAAATGTTTACAAAAATCACACAACATATCGGCATTGGAAGGTTTCTAATCCGGGACCTCTGGTTTAATAGAGGAAACATCAACCAACTGATCTAACAAGGATGATTGTAAATAAAATGATTTATCAGATATATAATATAAATCTTTTATCTATTCTCAACAAAAAAATTTCTTCTCGACGAATCCAGCTAAGGCGGCCGCCGTAGCTCGCCACCCCCTAGATCCGCCCCTGGATGACATGGGCAGTAGGCTTAAGGTCCCGATAGCTAAGGACCTCCATAATGTTAATGCTTTTAATTTATATATAGATAAATTTATAAAGTTTGTGTGTTGAACCATTTAATCTAAGTTTAAACTATTAAATATGCATGCTACATATATTATTTAAACAATATCTTCAACACGTCCTTTCATATTTTAGTCAGATTCATTTTTCCAAAGTCTGTCTTTGCATATGTTCGCAAATGTTTCGAATGGTGGACCAAATACAGAAGTTTTAAGACCCCACTGCAATTTTGTAAAAGATTTGGGACCGCAACTGCAATTTTTCCTATCATATATCTATTTATCATTTCGCTTTTGAATATATGATGAAAATCCTCACTTTTTGCAAGTGTGACAATCATGTCCTCAACCTTCCATTGGTGACAATAATGTCTTCAACCTTTTAACATTGTGTGCGATATCTCATTGAATTTTGTCATTTAGAGCATGTTTGAGCCTCATTTTTAGTTAAGAATACATTTTGGAATAGTAGATTGATGAAAAATTTGTGATTAATAAATAAAGAAAAATTTTGAGTTTGCGTGTAATATTGTTTTATTGAAAAATATGTGGTTGAAAAGAAGAGAGAAAAATGTATTTTAAAAATAACGTGAATCAAACCAGGGTTTAATGTGTAAATAGACGTCTCGGTCATGTGAGTATAGTGTTAAAAGACTAAAGACATGAGTACCAAAAATAAAAGATTGCATAGTTGTCACACAAAAGTAAAGAAATTTACCCAAAATATTAATTGAACCAAGGCTGATTTTTTCCATCTAATTCTCTACAATCTCTTTTAAGCAATATGGGTTACATTCTTGAAGTTTTTTATTTGTTGAACATTAGAATCATTAATGTGGTTTTTTTTTTTTTTTTCTCGTGTTGGATTACATTTTTATGAAGAGATGTAAACTAACCTTTGATTGATGCATAGTTAAATGCTATGTCAAAATGCATCCCTGAATTGCATTAGTTACGGACTAAGTTTTGAATGTGTAATCCGACTTTTACGAACATCGCAAATGTTGAATTTTTACACTTTAATTTTGAACACGTGACGAATTGTACATTTGCTAATTGTCAATGTCGATTTATAGAATATCTGTTCGAATATAGAATTCCACATTTAACATGAAAGCAAACAGAGAAATTTATTGAACAATCTTGGACTTCGACAGACAGACATCCTACGATTTATTGTGCCGCATGGTGGGGAGTTTCAGAACTATAGGACTCATTGCGAAAATAACAGTCTTCTACATTTAACGACATTCCATGTAAAGACTTCTACTAATTTGACATGAAAAAAATGGTCCGACCACACTGCTGTCATATACACAACATTAGCCCTCTACAATATGAAATGTCTTAAACTCCTCAAATACAATATAATCAACGAACAAGAATAAAGCAATTGGCTATGGGTCTTTAACTCGTATTATTTTGTACATCATTTTTTGTGTTTCATGTGTTTGCTCGGAAATGTCCGAAGTAGTTGTATCCATCATATGATTGATGGTTACCCGGGAATGCCCGACGTATTTGTGTACATATTCGGCATTTAAAATATGTCATCTAAGTGGGGAAGCCTTCCTTCCAAGAGGAAAGGATTTTGAATTTGGGGTTGCAGTTAACAAACAGTGATGAAAGGGTTCTCGATTTGGGCTATTTTTAGAACCTGTCTCTGTAAATCGAAAGTGAAATTCATTCTGTGTTTTTTCCTTTTCATTCACTCGGATTTCTTCCAGGGTAAATTTTTGTGTACTTTCTAGGGGCAAATTATTCCAATTCCTTAAATTTTGAATAGATATTGTTGGAAGGAGGGTGAGGAACGAAGAGAGACTATTGGAATCCCAATCTGCCTACCAAAACCCTCTCGATCTTTATCTTACTTGGCACAAACGATCACAAACAAGTCAATCGAAACACGACGACCGACCGAGACTCCTGTAATTTGAAAAGATTACAGGATATTTAAATTCATTTTTATTAAATTCGGCCAGCAACCAAAGCTTCAAAGATTTGGACATTTTTCAACGGTCAGTCCAAAAATGTTATTTGTTCCAATATCCTCAAGTTAATTTCCATAATTTAAAAAAAATGATCGTATTGAACAAAGACCAAATTCAGCAGCTCTTGTTTTATTAGTAGCATACAAGATATTGTTCCTCTTTCTATAGTCATCGAAAAATGTTACAAGACAACACTGTTGGAAATATTAACTACAGGGCCTTCGAGAAATTCGCACAAACAAGATGAGACAAAGGCCCATTAACTCCTCTATGAAATAAAACTATGAAATAAAACAAAATTAAAATAAAATTCCATTGACAAAATTCAAAAGTAGGAAACGAAAAGATGAATATTTGAATAGCATTCACTACTAGGCCTCGAAGCTCGACAAATAATTGTCAGTTTGTTACATGTTTTGGATGCTTCCGAGGATTCCTGCAGCGAGAAACACTCCAATGTGCAAAACAGACGAGGAACTGATTTCAAGAAAAACCCGCTTCTTACCCTGTCAGGCTCTTCATATCAACATTCACGTCCACGCCCAAGCTCGATAATGTATTGATCATAGCAGGAATATCATTTTGTAATGCAGCAGTCAATGGCTGAAAAAGACAACAAAAGGGGAAATTATGCAGCAATCTTCGTCAACATACAAATTCACGTGTGCAATCCTTGAGTAGTGCAAACATAAGCTTGACTGATGCACAATGTACAAAGGTCTGTGAAAGCACGAAACCCACTAATTTTATATCTTTATCCTATGCCACAATGTAAGCATACGACAATTATGTGATATATATCTTAAAAACGAATGTCATAATACACCAGATAATTCAACAAGAAAAGAAAACGTAATCAGAATCTTGTTCAGCTCAATATGATCCTCTGCCCCCAAAAGAAACCCAAAAAGGAAGAGAAGCAAAATTAATGCAGGGATATGATTATATTCCAAGGAAAAACAGTTAAAGTCAACAGATTAGATTTGTTTACCTTTCTGTTCTCTTCCTTTTGATGCTTTACAACTTCCAAAGGCCACTCACTAACTAGCTTTTGAAGTTCAACCACGATACCTGTCCTTTTTGCATCAGACAAATTCTGGAAACACATACGACACTATATTTCAGCAATCCCATTTAGATCAGTTGAAAATTACTAAGGAATATAATTTTTGATCATCTTGTGTTAAAATTCAAAGAAAAGATAGCAGGCCATTGAGATGCTAGACTTAATCTCGACCAAAAAGATGGATAATTACGCCTCGGTTTGGCTAATTTATAAATGATCCATAAATCATTTAGAAATGGTCAAACTTCATTTTCAACAACACATTCCAATGAACCCACAGTTACTATCCACATCTCATTTTATCTATTTATATAAATTAAACGGTTTATAAATTCTTCCCGGATGGAGGCTAAAAATTTAGTGCCCAGGAGTGACAACATTGAGTTGACACTCACATTTTTTGTTTTAGAACAATCGTGGACCATTAATATATCCCCCAACGAAATCACAAACTCTACAAACCAGGATATTAAGGGATTGTTTGAAAAACTTTTAATAAAAGTTTTAGCAGATTTTGATAAGAGTGGATGAAATGTATGGTTGAAAAATTGATAAAAATTGTACGGCCCATGAAATGTGTGGTTAAAATTAAGTGTTGACTTCAACCTCATCTTTTTAGTAACTTTTTAAGCTTTCCAAACCAAACCAATCTCAACTTTCAATTTCAGAAGAAAAGATGTAATCGGTTCTTGAATCTAGATTTACGATTTGGAACTCTCCATTCAGGACAAGTCCTTCATGCTAAATTTAACAGACACCCTCCAACTTGTTCTAAAGCACTTCAGAAAGGTACAGCATTAGGTTTCTCAAAAACTAAACTGTTTCAAAAAATATAAGTAACCTGATTAAGTATTTGAATGATTGCAGCAGCATTTTCGGGCTTGCATTCAAGGAGGAAACCCTGTTGATGAGATAAAATTTAATACCAACACAAGGATCTGAAACAAGAAAAATTGTGTTTAAAGCACCTATTGCCAACATTATTATGAGCAATGTACCTGTAAAATTACAATGAACTAATATGTACAGAACAAAAGGTATGTCTAAATGAAGAGATTAGAGGAGTTAACTCTCCATTATGGTAAATTTTGATTGGGGAATTAAACTAGACCTATTAGACAATAATTGGGCCAAGTTATATGCGCGACTTATGAAAGAGTAATTATTGACAATCCCTTTTAATTATGTTAAGTGTTAAGAGAAGTGGGATTTTGGATATTGATCATTTTGTGGAATTAATTTGATTTGATTTTTGACAACTGATCTATACAAATGTTATAGCAAAATGGAACGTGAAATTCAAGGTCCCCTTTTCTAACTGTTTTCACTGTTTTGACCATTATTGCCTTGGCAAATTCTCTTGATTTCTTTTGTTTTGTGCGTATGATTATAATAGATTGATGGATATTTTGAATAGAAAAAAGTAAAAATTGGATATGAATGCGTTGGGGGTTGGGAAGAAGATGAAGTGGGGGTGGGAGAAGAAGATGGAGTGGGTTTGAAATTGTGGGTGATTGATTTAAAAAATTTGAATATAATTTGCAAACAAATAAAAAGTTTGGGACCGCAATTTCAATTATTCCTTTTTAATATTGACAATGTTTTTAACAGTTAAACTAACAGAATTGGATAGTAGGAGAGTTTTTTGCACCTAACTGGTTGAATTCCGCACTAAAGGTTTCGAACAAGGACTTTTTCTGTTATTTTCAATAGGTAGATGGATTTTCCACACAATGTCTAATATGTAGGGGGTTTCTGTTATTAAGCATTTAATTTACATATAAATTAAAGAATTTTTAATGTTATTTAATTAAATATTAATAAACGGCACCACTATTACGGTCGTTGACGGTCGGCGGCCCTAGCCGACCTTTAATCCTGGATCCTCCAGTGCTTGTAAACATTTATAATTCCCTTCTCCTATTCTCTGGTGAGCTCCAAAGAGAAAGAACAACATTGAATTTGTATGTCCAGATTGCTTGCACCTGGCAATTTCTTCTATCGAGATCACTTCAGTTCACATTTTTTACACTCATAAAGAATTGTGAAATTTCAAAATGAGAGGTTTCATAATAAAATCATTTTTCACTACTATGAATGTTGCATTTTGTATTTTCGTGATATAAAGAACTTAAGAGATGAATACTGTCTGTCATAACATATACCTAAATATACTGCTTCACACTAAATTGATGAAAGATGCACCTTGTTAAGAGGGATAAAGTAATCTTATAGGACTCATTTCCAGATAATATCTAATAGTTTGTTCAATTTTTAATTAGGCATGTTTGATAATGAAACTTTTCCATGGAACTTGGAATTTAAATTCCACTTCCCACCAATTGGTTCGTTTGATGGCCATAATTTTCTTGGCAATTACTTTTCCACTTTATCCCAACACGTGCACCTTTTCTACCTTTTTGATGAATTTGGTTTCCCACCATTTTGGTGGGAAATAGAATTCCAGCTTTTGCCTTTTTTTTGGGTAATTGGAACAAATTTTATAATCAATTGTAAAAAAAAAAAAAATCATTACAATTTACATGTAAAACAAAGTCAAACGAATACTAAATTTTGATGAAAAAATGATTTTTTTGGAAATATTTTTTTACTTTTTAGCAGTAGAAACAAATTTTATAACCAATTGTGGAAACAATTATCACTTTAATGACAATTTCCATGTAAAACAAAGTCAAACGAACATAAAAAGATCCAAAACAAGTTTTGGACAATTATTTTCTCTAGAATTCATTTTCTTTTTACCAATTTTCCACCATTACAATCAAACAAACCCTTATAGTACATGTCTACCCATAAAGTGGTAGGGGATTGATAGGGAATAAATTTCAAATCAATATGCGATCAACATATATTACCTTAGCACATGAAAACCCTGTTGCAAGACTATGCTTTTTCATAGCTTCTGATCTCCACTTCTCAATTTTCCACAAGGAAACAGAGTCTCCTGCAAAGAAGGAAAATAAGATAAGTTCGAAATGCATTAACCATTTATGGGTTTATGTTAACCAAAAGATCAAAAGCATGAACTTGAGAGTGTATGGAATAAACTGGACAATAATATTCCACGGTCAAACTATAGGCGCAAAAAAAGATTTTTTTTTTTTTTATGGTAGCAAAAAAGATACTTTACAGGACCTTTCCTGGCAGCAAATTCCATCCACAAGTCAAAGGAAGTCTGTCGAAGTCTTACTCCTGACGTGACAAACCGTCTTCCATATTTAGAGATCAGATCATACCTGTCTGTGTCATAACAAATGCTGCAATAAGCAAAATCCAGTAAGAAGAATTAGAAAAATTCAATTCAAAAGGGTATAGTATTTTGAAGAAACTGAACTTCCATGAGAACAGAAAATCAGAAGACAAGCGTCGAACAATTAATACACCTTGAAAGCGGTTAGTCTTTTTGCGGGTAATCCTCCAACCACATATGCTTGCTTAAGAAATTTAGTTTAAAACATCCACACTAGAGAAAGAAAATGCACAAAAACAAATGTATGACCTTGTTTTCACCATATACTCAGCCTAACAGCATCACAAGAAACGCTTTTGTTTTCACTTATAGGGGAAGAAGAAACACGAGGAACATGTCTGCATTTAAATCTCTAGTAGTACTTTAAAATACGCAATCATGCCATTAGGTCTTATTACACCACTTGGATCAACATAATCAGGAAATACCTTAAAAGGAATGTGGCATGTTCAGACCCTCGAAATGAAATATATGAATGGGTACATGTGCTGTTTAAGATACTCAAAATTACTCACCAATGAAAAATATATCTACATTTTATACACCAGGGGGTGTTTTACATGCATCATAGCGAATATAGTAGGGCAGTCTCTCAGCAAAAGACAACAGAAATAAGGTTCAAAGAACTTGCGTAAAAACAAAGGCTATTTTTGTAAGAAGGGGAAGGAGTGAGGACACGTGAAGAGCAAGGAATAGGCAGGAGAAAGGAGGGTGGTGGGGGTGGGGTTTTCATAAATGCAACTTAACCGTGTTAAATCTGTAACCAGTTAATGGGATAGTGTATATTAGTTTTAAATCTTGGTATCTTAGTGAAAACAAAATTATGACAAATTGAGAATGACAGACTACATAAGAATGATCATCAACATAAGCAGAAGCAGGTGGAAAGATTTTTAAGAAAATGGAAGCGTATGTTATGACCTGAAAACTAAATCTGCCGTGCCAGGCTGCAATGGTAACTCATTCTTCTTCACAAGTTTCATTACTTCTACCATGAGTTTGACATCACGGTGTTGTTTAGCATGCAACTGCAGCCATATAACAATTATTTGTTTACAGGTGTGACACACACAAATAATAAAAACATAGATATCATGAACCTCATTGAGAAGGTGATTTTCTTAAGTACCAACAGATGATGGGCAGATCCGATATCAGGAGTCAATCCATATAAATTATGCTTCCACAATGCCTTCTTTCCTGTGCATATATCACGACTTAAAACACTCTCATTTATTGACGAACAACAGTATGATCACCAGAGCATAAAAGAAAGTTACTCGCTTGTGAGCCAAAAACCCCGTGAATTTAAACACGTGTTACTAAAGCAGATCTAGATTTCAAACAATTATATTCACCATAGTCAACCACGATAAAACTAAAATTTGACTCTGGACTTGTTCTCCTTGAAATGAACAAGGCATGAATGAGACACACGATAAAATTCAAATAAATGATCCTTTGTTATGTTCAACAACTCCATTCAGAAGCAGAATGAATGTAATTACAGTGTGGGAAACACGTTCTCATCATTGATGTGAGAAATCAAAAATCACTTACAGAGATTATTCTGATACTAGAAACGCATCAGGTATTAAACTGCATTGTCATTATGGCAATTTAAGTTCACATAAATAAAGAAGATCTTTCATCAGATCTATATGGGTTTTATGGACGTAGCAATGCATCAGAAAAGAGCCACGAAAACAATGTACAAAAGAGAGATTACCACTGCAATTTTCAGTACCCAAAAGTTATAAGATAAGCCCATTCGGACCTAACATATACATGGCAAGTCGTATCTATAACGACCCGAACATCATGCAAAACCGTTCTCTTACGTATTGTCCGCTTTAGTAGGGCATCTGCCATCTTACCCCTCACGGCTTTCTGTCATGTCCCCCAAGATTTGAACTCAAAACCTAGATATTTAAATTGAATTTTGCTACCAATTTGACACTTATGTAAGAGAACGGCCTGGCACGAGGCAGAACCAAATTGACTGATATGAGTTATTCTTCATTAATTGGACCAGGTGAAATGTTGAACATATTTCCGACATTATAATAAACTATGTACCAAATAATGAACTATTAGGTACAGCACAAATGTATGTCTAAATATAGCGATTAGAGGAATTAATTCTCTATCATGATACATTTTGTTAGGGGATTCTAAGAAGCACGGATACTAGTAAACTCATTACGCACCCGCATCCGATACTTATCCAAACTTGGATATTCTTCGATACCCTCCGATACGTACCAGATACATTTTTCTAATTATTTTATATTTTTTTTTATTGTTTAATTTTTCGATACGTATTGGATACGTGTTTTTAATTATTTTATATTTCTCAATTATTTACGATATGTATCCGATACGTTAGGACACATGAATAAGAGTATTATAGGCGAGATTGCTTCTTTCACTAATAGGTATAATATGGATTCAAAGACATAGTGGTTACTTCATGGTCACATGCATGTTTACTTCAAAATATTGCTTTGAAACTTTTTAGCAACCTTCTTCTTCATCTTGTACCGAAAGAAATTGAAGTACATACTCTTTTTGTACTCTATGAGAAGGAATAAATAATTTCACAACGAGCTGAAAAATTGATTTTCATTCATAGCAATCTACGTCTTTTATCAAGAAAATAAGATATCTATTCAAAAGGAGAATTGAAAATGTGGGACATTATCGATGACTCATTCAATACTCTTAAAAGTGTTGGACTACTTGAGGTTGCTTATCTATTATTAAATGAGACAAAATTAGGGAGTGTTATTTTTATTGATAACGAAGAAGTTGAGGTTGAAGAAAATGAAGTTGGGACAATTAAGGATTAAGATAAATGCTTTAGTATTTTATTTTATTTTTATTATTATACTTATGTTTTAATTTTTTTATATTAATAAAATTATGTAGAATTTTATAACACGTATCCACTTATCCTAATTTTTTTTTTAAAAAGTCGTATCGACATACCCGTATCATATCGTATTTGAATTACTTATGCGTATCCTTGTTTCTTAGAGGGGAAAGACGTAATAGAAAATAATTAGGTTAAGTTAATTGCTTAAAATTAAATCCAATAGTACGTCTGAACCGCGAAACGATTCCTAGTAAGTCTGGGAACAGTGGACAAGTTTGTTCTCGGGGGTAATATGCAGATTTTGAGCTCTATAAAAAGAGGGTTTTCCTCCTTTTTGCCAACATATAAACATCTATAATCCACTTATTCTCTGGTGAGTTCCAAAGGAAGAGACAAAAGATAATTTAGATGTCCAGATTGCTTGCACCTAGCAATTCCTTCCATCTAAACTACAATTACTTCATTTCGCATTTTTTATACTCACGAAGAATTGTGAAATTTCAGAAAGGAGAGTTTTATAACCAAACCATTTTTTTTCCAGCCGCTGTTATGAAATCAATATGCGACCACAATATGAATTACCTTAGCACAGGAAAACCCAGTTGCAAGAGTATGCTGTTTCATAGTTTCTGATCTCCACTTCTCCATTTTCCATAAGGAAACAGATTCTCCTGTAAAGAAGGAAAGATATGAGAAGTGTGAAATGCATTAACCATGTTCAGGTCTATGGAAACCAAAAGATCAAAAGCATGAACTTGAGACTGTATGGAATGAATTGGACAATATATTCCATGGTTACATCAAACTCAAGTTGAAGGATTCTATAGGAGCCAAAAAGATACTTTATTAAGACCTTTCCTGGCAGCAAATTCCATCCACAAATCAAAGGAAGTCTGTCTAAGGCTTACTCCTGATGTGACAAACCCTTTTCCGTATTTAGAGATCAGATCCCACCTTTCTGTATCGTAACAAATTCTGTAATGAGCAAAACCCAGCAAGAAGAATTAGAAAAATCCAATTGAGTATATAGTGAACAGAACAGAAGAAATTGAACTTCCATGAGAACGGAGAATCAAAAGGAAAATATCAAGCAACTAATACAACTTGAAGATGGTTAGTCTTTTAGAGGGATATAGAAAAGCCAACAAAAACATTCTCCAACCTTGTACACTAGAACAAAGTCCACAGAAAAGAGAGAGAATGTACGAAAACAAATGGGCAGCTTGATTTTCTCCATACCTATACACAGCCTAACTGCATCATGAGAAACACTTTTTTCCCTTATAGGTGAAGAAGAAACAAAAGGAAAGGGATGTAGAAGTACCTTCAAATACAAAGTTATGCCATTAGGTCTTATTACACCATTCAGTTCAGCATAATCACACAATACCTTAAAATGATAGCAGTATGCTCAAACCTATGTACAGGTGCTGTTCAAGAACGTATTATACTAAAAATTACTCAGCCATTAAAAATTTATCTACATGCTTTATACACCTACGGAATGCTTTGCGTGCATCATAGCGAATATGGTCGAGACGGTTTCTCAATATAAGAATTATGTGAAAACAAAGGCTAATTCTTCTAAGGCAAAGGACCGAAGGAGCAAGGACAGGAAGAGAACAAGGGGTAGAGGGGCGGGGAAGAGAGAGGGAGAGAGAGGTAATTGCAACTTAACTATGTTGAATTTCTGTAATCATATAACAGGATAGTAAATATTAGTCTTTAGATCTTGGTATCTTAGTCTGCATAACAATGATCAACATAAGCAGAAGTAGGTGGAAAGATTTTTTGAAAAGTGGAAGCATAGGTTATGACCTGAAAACTAAATCTGCCTTGCCAGGTTGCAAAGCTAACTCATTCTTCTTCACAAGTTTCATCGCTTCTACCATGAGTTTGACATCACGGTGTTGTTTATCATTCAACTACAGCCACATAACAGTTATTCATTTACAGAGATTCGCTCATATAACAAAAAATAGATATCATGCAACCTCACACATAACAAAAAATAGATATCATGCAACCTCACACAGAAGGTGATTTCTTAAGTATTACTTATAAGTTATACTTCCATTATGGAAGCATTATGTTAAACAAAACATTCAGAAACAGAGTGAATGCACTCACAATGTGGGAACCAAGTTCTTGTCATTGATGGATGCAGTCAAAAATTGGCTTAAGTGCAGAAAGATAACATTATAAAAACGAGATTACTACTGCCTTTTTTCAGTCTCTAAAAGTTGTAAGAAAAGCCCATTCAGACCTAGACTATGATTACACGGCAAGCTGTAATTAACTGCTACGTCCGCCTGAGAAAAAAAGCAAGTAAAATACAGTTTGGTACAAAGTTAAACATCCTGAGTTTCATAGTGCACAAATTATAGAACTTCCATTTTTATTTTTTACATCCATATTCATGTATCCAATTTATGCTCTTTATCAACAAATCATTAATTTAAACAAGAAGGGGTGTGATATGTATTCTTACCAAAATCTGTAGCTCCTACACGTACACATGCCTTTCCCTGCAAAGGGCACTGTTAAAATTTTCCTGTATCCAAAGATTGGAGAGTCTCTGCAATCCACAGCAAAAACTATCATCTACAAATAGTCGGAAAATAAAAGTTAGCCAGCTACCATAAAGCATTAAACAAGTAACAACTGAAAAGTAAACTCAGTCTCTGCAAAATATTAAACAGAAGCTTAATATCCTCATAGTTAGAACATTTTTCCACAAGTGACCACAACCAAGCATTCGGAGCAGTTCTTTTTCTCTGCTACACATTTCAGCATCTTATCATATACTTCCTTTGCAGTGCCTGCATGTGGAACAACATGAAAAGCATATTCTCACCACAGAAACTTCAAATTTCTATTTTTATTAAACAACTTCAAAATCATAAAAAGGTAAATAACCACCTGCAGAATCATTTTCAGCCACATTCGCTTCCGTAGAATATGGTGCATAGGTCAGCATTATATGTGTTGGAATTCGCATTATAGTTTCTTGACAATATGATTCCATTGGTAAATGATTCCCATGGAGAGTCCCTGCATATTTTTAAATTCCTAGACAATCATACTGACTGCATTGCATAATTTACAAATTACAGTCAGAAAAAAATAAATGTCCACTATGAGAACATGTGCGAGCACAAACATGTTCACACACACAGATGCCAGCACATGAACTAATTCGCACATAATTCTCACTTTTGTTTAGGTGTGCCTCTGTGTGAGAAAAAATCACAATCTTCTTTTCCCTCACTGTAACAAGTATTGTTTTTTTCTATCATTTAGGACATAAAATTGCAGAAACAAAACAAAATGAAAAAATAAATAAATTACTAATGAATAACCAGTCAGCTAAGGAAAAAAAATTAACTTCTTTTTCCTTTGCTTAGAATTCAAAATTTTCTATTTGATTTTGCATTTTTCTGATTTCACATGACACGTGATTGATACATAACCAGTCAGCTAAGAAAAAAAACTCAACCATTTTTCCTTAGCTTAACATTGAAAATCTTCCATTCGATACAATTCCGAATCTTATAATTTATTTTTCTGAAATTAAAAAAATAATGCTTAGAGAGAGTGTACCTGAGGATGTGAAGTGAAAGCGGCGGCATAGAGCAGGGGAGCTGAGTTCAGAACAATTTTCAGCGGCTTGAGATAATTTGACTCGTTCCGGTGAGTTAAAGAAACACGGCGACGGGTTTTTCAAAACCCTAATGAACCGCCGGGATTTTGATATAGCTCCGATTGCTTGCATTTTCTCGTACGCTGGGAGAGGGAGATGAAACTAACGATGGAATAAATGATGAATTGTTGTTTCCTTAAATTAGCCAAACAGGGCCTTAATTAATGGCCCAACTATTTTTATTGGGCCAGATCTTCTTGTCGCAGAACTAGCAGAGGATATGACTCATATGAGTATCTCCAGCTCAGTCCAAAATTGAATTCTTTTCTGTGAAAATTAATTTAAATATAATTTTTTTCGATTGTGCTACATGTACATAATGATTTTTATGCATCTGATGTGGTAAAATATGATTGGATCAGAATTTCTCAATCAAATAAAAAAAATTTCCTACTCTCTTTTTGACGTCTTATCTGCATGTAAATCATCATGTACAAGTAGGATTATTCATTTTTTTTCCTAATTGAGCTTGATTATAAATTTTTTCCTTTTTCCTTTTAAAAGCTAATTGAGCTTGATTATAATTTTTTTTCCTTTTAAAAGCTAATTAAAATCTAAAAATAACGTGCAACCCATAATCAATGCTTCTAGTGGAGTAAAAATGAGTAACTTTAAGTGATCTCTAGTTGTTGTAACAAGAAATTTTTCCTTAAACCTACAAAGTTTATCATAACGTTCTAATAAGTCACTTAATGTCACGCTATCTTCACACGTGCTATGTATAATATCTCGAATTATATGTTGGCACACTATCCATGAATTGATTGGCACAACAGAGTATATAAATCGCTTGTCTTGTAATGCATGTTTTTTCCATTGGAAAACATTGTCTGCATGTATTAGTTTCCATCCTATTCATACTTTTTTTATGCAGACGTGTCTCGAGTTTTATGACCTTCATATTCAAATATTTGGCACGTTAGCAACCAAAAAAGCCTCGTGATATCTCAGGAGTAGATCTATTGAGATATCTAGTCATTAGAAACCCATCGTTGTTGCAGAGAATAAAATGGGTAGATGGATAGCGAAGGACGATACTTCAACTACAAAACCAACCTCATGCGTGATTACTGAAATAAAATACGTATACCACTTAATTTCTTTAAAATTTATTATGTTCGATAAATTGGTTTGGTACTAATTGAGTATAAGATATTTTGTTCAAAATATAAGTTCGAGGGTCCATACGATCAAAACAAGAAGACTATAAACCTTTCGAAAAGTTTTCCTAATTCGAAAGAGAGATACTATCATGATCCTTATGACAACTCTTCATCCTCACCACATGCCACATTTGGTATCTCGTGTCATCTACTCGACACGTTACATTAATATACACTAAGGTATAAAAGAAGTGGTAATTACACAAAACATTGCTTTATGTATCAACATTTCCAAAATCAGATTTGAAATTTCACATTTCCAAAATCAAATATTTTATTTTAATTAATATTTTTATAAAATAAATATATACATTTCAATCCCTAATTAATTACCAAATCCACCTCATTTCCCCAAACCGACCCTCTCTCGTCTCTCTCCTCCTGAATCACCACCGGAAGAATCGCGTCACTACTCGCGGCGCTCTCTCTGTCCTCTCCCTGTGAGCCGGCGCTGCTGTAGTCCGTCGAAAAGGCTCCACCGAGCACTGCGACTGCCCATGGTGCTAGGAGGTCACTGCGCTACGAGAAGGCTCCAATCGGTCTCTGTTTGTTCACAGGGGCGTCGAAAGGCGGTGCAAAGCTGCTTCGAACTCGCCGCNGTGTGGTGGTAGTGGTGCTCGTGGTGGTGGTGTTTGGGCGGCTGTGATTTTGTTGGATCCAACGATGGTGGAGGTTATGTTGGATATGGTGGTGGCTATGGTGGTGGTAGTGGATCTTAGTGGTGGTGTTGGTTTATGCGCCATGTCCAAATCGCAGCTCCACAATCTGTGGGTTTTGGGGTGTGTTTTTAGTTGGTGGTGAATGGGGGCTGTGGTGGTGGATGGGGGCTATGATGGTTGTGGTGTATGTGACCAACTATTTAGATTAACTATGACCTTAAAAATTGGACAATTTGTGATTAAAAATTAACTAATAAATTTGAAAATATGTGATTAATAAACAAACAATCATACATTGTGACTTGATTTGTGACTTGTGACCTGAGCTGTGACTTGTGACATGGGACTTGTGACTTGGGTTGTAACCGTAAAAAAAACATATTAACCGTACAAAAAAATATAGCGGAGCAGTCGCCGGAAAAATCGACGCCGGAACGTTTCTCGAAAAGTTCGCGGGAGTAGGGCGATGATTGGAACGATCGCCGGAACGGTAGGGGTGATGAACGTGGGATAGGTTAATTATATTATATCATAATTAAATATTTAATAATAATTTAATTTAATAATTTATTATTTCATAAATAAAAATTTAAAATTTTTTTAATAAAAATCTGATTTTAAAAGTTTCAAACTTGTGTTCTTATTTTTGAAAATGGCTAAACTTATTTTCTTGAATACGTAATCTTCCCATAAAAGAATTAAAATCGTATACTCCAACCGTTGGTCCAAGCCCGCGAGTAATGTTCCAAAAACCAAATGGGCTCATCCAAGAAGGCCCAAGGCGGGAAATTCCTTTTTCTCTATACACGTGGCAGAAATCTATAAACTCCCAAGTCACATCTGACCGTACACGAAAGCATCAAACAAGTATATATACTCGTATGTGTGTTTGTGTGTGTGTGTGTGTGTATGTAAGCCATCTAACGTTTGGTGAATCCTCATCTCTCTCTACGGTCCGCAGTCCAATTTCATTATAGCGAATTTCTTTAGGGAAGCTATGGGGAAACCCTCGAGAGCAAAGGACTCATCGGACGAGTCGATTTCCGGTTCCTCGCCGGAGGAGGAGCCGATCAACGATCAAATCAACGACGAGGAAGATGAAGAGGAGCTAGAGGCCGTGGCACGAACAGCAGACGAGTTCGAGGATGATGATACTGACACTACCAACGCCGCTCAGGAAGAAGAGGATGACGTCAACGAGGTCGGTTTAAATGAAATTATTATTATTTTAGTTTCCTTTCTCTGTGTTTTCACTTTTTCGTTTTGTATTGGTGAATTACGGTGGAGAGTGAGGAAGATCGGTTCTTTTCTTCTTACTGAGTGATTTAGTTAGGATTTATGGTTATATGGAATGCGTGATTTGGTAATTTTATAAAATTTGGTGTTAATGTCGTGTGATATGACTTTATCTCGCTAGGGTTTCGCAGGTCGGAGTTGAGGATATTGAATTTTTTGGGTGAAAAAGTTTGAATTGTTGCATCGAGCATGAATAACTTTTGTTCTGTTTAGTATTGATGACTTTAAATTAGGTGAAGAAAGGATAAGAAAATAATAAGGAATGAATTTTTATTTTATTTTTGGGGTATTCACAAGTAGTTTTCGATCCAAATTGATGTGCCTTGAGTGACTTGGAAATCATAGTGAAATCTATTGCATTGCAATTTCTTGTTAAATAGGTGATGTGATATTTTGCAGGAAGATAATGTCGTGGCAAATGAGGTTGGCAAACGTGAAAGAGAGAGGCTGAAAGAAATGCAGAAATTGAAGAAGCAGAAAATTCAAGAAATCCTGGAAGCACAGAATGCTGCTATCAATGCCGACATGGTAAATTATCTGGAAAAAAAAATTGTGTAATGTGGTGTTTAGAATGAGTTGTACAGTAAAACCTACGAATGTTTGATAAATTAATAATCTCACTTAAATAATAAAATTCTTTGGCTCCGACTTGGCCAATGTACTAAGGCCTGTTTGGGTCTGATTAAAATCTGATTTTAATTAAAGTCAAAGTCAAAGTCAGACAATCAATATTAACCATATATTTCATGGATGTCACGTCTTTTCGACCATTCATTTCAAAAACTTCTATCACAATCCATTCAAAATTTAATTTTAATTCCCACTAAAAACCCTATAAATTAATAACCCGCTAATTGCATATGATAATAATTTTTTTTAAAATCCTTTAAAACCCAACAAATATATAAAATAATAATTGCTTAAATTCATAAAAGTTCATACTAATACAAATAAACAAACTTTTAATTAGACTATACTTTTTTCAATTCACCTCTATTAATTTAACAAACGTTTAATTTTACTGTAGAAATTATGTTCCACATGTATATGAAATAACTTGAACGGTTAATCTTTTAAGTTATTAAATTTTGAAGCCAATGCATTTATGTTAATGTTTCATCTTTAGCCCTCGTTTGACTTCCATTATTTGAAATTTTAATAGTTAGAATAGTGTTTTTTTGAAAAATATCCTTAAAAAGAAAGAAAAAGTTTTGGGATTACGTGTAATATTATTTATTAAAGAATGTGTGGTTCATAAGAATAGAGAGAAAAATGAATTATAATTTTATTGGGGGCCAAAAAGGAACTTGATGTATGTATGTGTGCCTTTTTATGTGCTTACCGATTGAATTTTTAATTTCACCACATTCAATATTTTTATTTTTATTTTCAATTTTCTACATGTATTATGGTAAAATATAATACAAGGTATAAAAATATAACATGCTCTATAAATTGATAAATATTTATTTATCGATAAATTAATAACCCCTTTAAAATAATATTTTTCTCGGTCCCAGCATTATCATTTTATCGAGGTTTTATTGTAGACGCATATTCATGATAATATTGATTTATTTTGAGGCAGAACAACAAAGGAAAGGGTCGTTTGAAGTATCTCTTGCAGCAGACAGAACTATTTGCTCACTTTTCTAAGGGCGATCTGTCTGAATCTCAGAAGAAGGAAAAGGGAAAGTGAGTGATACCCCTTTTTTATTGTTCTTTCACTGTCACTGCATGGCTGAATATACAAGTTTCTGTTATCCTTTCCACTTACTGGATGGCTGCATTTTTCATTTATTGATTCATTAAGGTTAAAGCATTTGACTATGGTGATAGGATGAAAACTGACAAGTTAATGGAGCCCTCCTAGTTTGTCGATTTGGATTACTTGTGATATTTTAACATAAAAGTATTCTGGAATCTTTATGACCGTTTTCTTATTATATTATATATAAAACAAGCTTCTTTAAATTTCCCCGTGATATATTAATTAACTTGTAAATTGTGAATTAAAGCTTCTATCTCCAATTTACCAATTTTATCTATATTGGAGAAAAAAGACTTGCTTCCTAGACTAGTTTTGCAAGTTATTCTCTTAATAATTGGCTTATGATAATACTTACCAAAACAAGCGTAGTTGTAATATGATAACATTATGGTTTATATGGGACACAATCTTTCTTAAACAAATAGTGTATTATATTATGTATTCCATGTTGATTTAGTGTCTTTTTACTGCATCTCATATTTCGTAGGGGTCGCCACGCTTCAAAGCTAACTGAAGAGGAAGAAGATGAAGAATATCTGAAGGAGGAAGAAGATGGTCTATCTGGCACAGGAAATACAAGGCTAGTGGCACAGCCCTCTTGTAAGACCTTTTGCTAGCCATCTTTCTTTTAGCTGCCTTCTTATCATTTGGGATGATGGCACCGAATTTGGACTTGTCAGTTGTAATTAAAGTACAATTGTTTATAACTGATTACACTGTTTTGCAATGGTCAAATGGCCTCATTGTATGAATTGTTTTAGGTCTACTACGAATGTGCTTTCCTCGAAGATGTTCTACATAATTTATAGCATGTTTTGCAATTTATTTACTGCTTTAATTCGGAAGTGCATTTATTATGATGCTGCAGCTATAATTTTTGCTTATTGATGTCGCAGGCATTCAAGGAAAGATGAGGGATTACCAACTTGCTGGTTTAAATTGGCTCATACGATTGTATGAGAATGGCATTAATGGAATTCTTGCCGATGAAATGGTACCAGGAGAAACTAATGATTTGTAACCCTAACAGCAATAATTTATATAATGATGGTGTTCTTTGTTAAACATCAGGGACTTGGTAAAACACTGCAAACCATATCCTTGCTGGGCTACTTGCATGAATTTAGAGGAATTACTGGCCCTCACATGGTCGTCGCTCCAAAATCTACACTTGGCAATTGGATGAATGAAATTAAACGTTTCTGTCCTATTTTGCGTGCTGTGAAGTTTCTTGGAAATCCAGACGAAAGAGTAAGCCTCAAGCACTACTTGATATTATTTTTCTCGTCTGTTTTTCCAGTAGCTTATTCTACATTTTTGCTTCCCCAAATCTGTCAGAGTTACATACGTGAGGAATTACTTGTTGCCGGAAAATTTGATGTTTGTGTTACAAGCTTTGAAATGGCCATCAAAGAGAAATCTGCCTTGCGCCGCTTTAGCTGGCGCTATATAATTATTGACGAAGCTCATCGCATCAAAAATGAAAATTCCCTTCTTTCAAAAACAATGAGACTTTACAATACTAATTATCGGCTTCTTATTACTGGAACGCCACTTCAGGTATTGTTTATATTTTCTGGACAATTTGATTTCCTACTTTCCTGATGACATCTCATTTATTTTAACTTGTATAGTGCTTTAGGTTGAAAATACTTTGATTTTACTATTTCTAGTTGTGAAGTCTTAAAGTTGAAACTAGGGCGATGGCTGTGAAATATCAGGTTATCTTGTAATAGGTTGTTTTTTATTGCATTTTTCAGTTGTTGACTCGTTTAATTCATTCTTCGAACTTCATATCCATTGCAGTTGGCTTTATTCGAAAATGTTTGATTTTATTTTCTATAGGAACTTGTAAGTTTTTTCTGGCAACAGATGCTGTCCTAGAATGCCATGGATGAGTACATAAAAGTATAATTTTTTTTAACTTTGCTGGACAATAAAGATATGAGGAAAATGGAGCAGCTACAAATGGAACCTAAAGCACTTGTGCATGTTTTTGCCAAAAAAAAAAAATTGTTTTTCTTGTTGGGCATGGGATGGCTATTGGTTGTGTTCTTCTATGGACATTCTGGTTGTTTTGCTCTTCACAATGCACTTGAATCTATTTATTTTCGCAAGCATCTCTTTTGGTTTGCATGTTATGTGCTAGCATGATATAGCATGAGGCTGTTATCAATATTTAGACTGTGCTTGTGACAAATTATCTATTGTGCAGAACAATCTTCACGAACTTTGGTCTCTCCTAAACTTTTTGCTGCCTGAGATATTTAGCTCAGCTGAAACATTCGATGAGTGGTTCCAAATTTCTGGTGACAATGATCAGCAGGAAGTTGTCCAGCAGCTGCACAAGGTATATCCACAATTATTCCTTAGAACGTATTTCTGTGTAAATGAGGTTGTACCTATCAAAAAAGGTATTTCTGTGTAAATGAGGTTGCGTGATAGATTAGAAACTGAGTTGTTTATTACATGCCAAAACTCTTTAACTGAAGATAAAAAAGATACATGGGCAGAACAATAATCAGAATTCTGTCACAATAGCCTATGATAGAAGCTTGATATTGATGGAGGGCTAATTTAATGTGCTCTGGGATTCATAATAATTCATAAAGATTTGCAGCTCATGGTGAGTCAGTTTTCTGACCTTCAGAGCTAGACCTTTTCATTAAATAATTAAATACATCATTGATGTGCCATTGCTCATATACCAGTTATAGCAAAACAACAATAACTGAAGCCTAGTTAGCAACTTCTACTGTTTGCACAATATTCCCTTATTTGTTTAATCAATAATTAATTAGCACGACCAATTTGTTTACAACTAATAATTGGTAAGTGAATCTTGAAATTATGGGTTATTTACATGGGCGTAGATGACATTACATGGAATTAATACGATCTATAGATGCCAATGTGTTTTTGCTTGGGTTTCTATTTTCTTTACAAATTAAACTTGTTTTCTTTGTGTGTGCAATTTTTAGGTCCTGCGACCCTTCCTTCTCAGAAGATTGAAGTCCGATGTTGAAAAAGGTTTACCTCCGAAGAAGGAAACAATACTTAAAGTTGGTATGTCTCAGATGCAAAAGCATTACTATAAGGCTCTGCTGCAGAAAGATCTGGAGGTTGTAAATGCTGGTGGAGAACGCAAACGTCTTCTTAATATAGCCATGCAACTGCGAAAATGTTGTAATCATCCATATTTATTTCAAGGTGCTGAACCTGGTCCACCTTATACCACTGGAGATCATCTCATAGAAAATGCTGGTATGATTTTTCATCATACTTCAATGTAAAAAGATCGACTTTTCTGTGGTGATTGCCTATCTTGTTCGAGTCTTTTTTCTTTATGTTTATGACGTCCATTATTTATTGCAGGAAAAATGGTTCTTCTAGACAAGTTGCTTCCAAAATTAAAGGAGCGTGATTCCAGAGTTTTGATATTCTCACAGGTTTGTACTTTCTCCCTGAAGCTCTTTTAAGCTACAATATTTTTTATTTGTTGGGATCTACTAGAAAAAGGTAGCTTTGGATTGAACATAGTTGTGCAAAAGAGGCTTAGTTTTATGTTTTTTATTTTTTTACACATTAGTTTACTGTATTTCGTAGGGGCGGAATAATTCCAGGATTATAGACAGATCAATCTTTCTGTTTATTGGGCAATCTATTTCTTCGTTTTTGCATTTGATTATCCGTGACAAATTCCTTTTGATTGTTTAAAATAGATGACAAGGCTGCTGGACATTCTTGAAGACTACTTAATGTTTCGTGGATACCAGTATTGTCGCATTGATGGAAATACTGGTGGGGATGATCGGGATGCTTATATAGAAGCCTTCAACATGCCAGGAAGTGAGAAATTTGTCTTTCTACTGTCAACTAGAGCTGGAGGTCTTGGTATCAACCTTGCTACTGCTGACGTTGTTATTCTCTATGACAGCGATTGGTGAGGATTTGCTGCAATACCGTGCTGATGCATCAAGGGCTACAGCAGGAAATTTAAACATTCCAATTTTTGCCTCTGTTTCATTGCAGGAATCCACAGGTTGATTTGCAGGCTCAGGATCGTGCTCATAGAATTGGGCAGAAGAAGGAAGTCCAAGTTTTCCGATTCTGCACTGAGGTTTCGCTTTTCTCCATATTTTCTAATATATTTTAATGAGGCTTCTTGGAGGTATTATGCACTAGTGATATGTTCTAATTCATTGTTAACAGTACACTATTGAGGAAAAAGTGATTGAGAGGGCCTATAAAAAGCTTGCATTGGATGCTTTGGTTATCCAGCAAGGGCGACTAGCAGAGCAAAAGTGTAGGTTTTCTTATTCATGGGTCAAGATCTATTTCGTGGATTATCATCAAAAGTCGACGGATTTAATTTTGTTATGTATGCTGTGCAGCTGTTAACAAGGATGAGCTGCTGCAAATGGTGAGATTTGGTGCTGAAATGGTTTTCAGTTCCAAAGATAGCACAATCACAGATGAAGATATAGACAGGATAATTGCCAAGGGAGAAGAGGCAACAGCTGAACTTGATGCCAAGATGAAAAAATTCACTGAAGATGCTATCAAATTTAAAATGGATGACTGTATGCATCTTGCTTTGTCAACCTTGCTAGTTTAGTTGCTTTTATCTCTTGATTCTCTTCTATTTTTGGTGATAATTTTTGTTAGTAAGGCTAAATTATCCAGTTGGACTTTCTGCAGCCGCTGATTTGTATGCTTTTGAGGATGAAAAGGTAGCATTTGTTAATTCCTTTATGGCTTGTCTAATATGACTTCTCAATTCCTTTTCAGTTCTAATTTGGGCCATGTACTGATTTTTCATTTTCCTTTCTGTTGTTGATAGGATGAAAGCAAGTTTGATTTCAAGAAACTTGTCAGTGATAATTGGATTGAGCCTCCGAAAAGGGAACGAAAGCGCAAGTATATTTCTTCAGTTGCTAAAGTTATGTACGCCAAGTTTATCGGAAAAACAATATAATTCTTACATTTCCTGTTCTGTTGTTAGTTACTCTGAGTCGGAATACTTCAAGCAAACAATGCGTCAAAGTGGTCCTGCTAGACCAAAAGAACCCCGAATCCCCCGCATGCCACAGTTGTAAGCTTTTTTTAATCTTCATAGTTAATTAAATAATTTTTATTTTCTGTACTTGACAAGTTTTTCTATGATAGGCATGACTTCCAGTTCTTCAATACTCAGCGTCTCACTGAGCTGTATGAGAAAGAAGTGCGCTGCCTCATGGTGGGTGTTTTGGCTTCTCTAGATTCCTTTTTTATATGCACCTTGCTGTATATATCATTTTTGTTTTCATGATTTCAGCAAATCCAACAGAGAAGTCAGGTGAAAGATACAATAGAGGTGGATGAACCTGAAGGTATGCTGCTACTTTTGTTGAGAATACCTTCTATATCTAGTCGTTTTTCCACTGGACACACTATTGAAACGATTTTATCTACCTAGATGTGGGAGATCCATTGACTACTGAGGAGCAGGAAGAGAAGGAGCGACTGCTGGAAGAAGTATTTTTTTCCACAATTTTCTTACTGATATTGATATTCTCTGCTTTTCTTGTACCTAACAATTTGTTATATTTAGGGATTTTCGACATGGAGCAGAAGGGACTTCAATACATTTATCAGGGCCTGTGAGAAGTATGGTCGAAATGATATTAAAAATATTGCTTATGAAATGGAAGGGAAAACTGAGGACGAAGTTGAGAGATATTCAAAAGTTTTCAAGGAAAGATACAAAGAATTGAATGGTCAGTGATATTTTGATCAGTTTCTCGGTGATGATGCTTTGAGAATTGTTTACTTATTCCATTTTTCTAAGAGAGATATGGAGAGTGAAATATGATAACTCTGTGTTCTGTTTATTAATTTATCTGGGGCGGGATGTTTAGAGGGAGGGAGAAACATGGAAATGGTGCTTTCAGATAAGATTTTATGGAAAGATCTGCAAGGCTAATTTATGAAACGGGCATTGCAACTTTCTCCTAGAATATCAGGAATTGTTCCAACAGGATCATCATTGCTTCAGGCTTTTTCTGCATTTGACACTTTTTTTTTTTTTACGTGTCTATATCATTTTCCAGACTATGATAGGATTGTTAAGAACATTGAAAGAGGAGAGGCTAGAATTTCAAGGAGAGACGAGATCATGAAAGCTATTGGGAAGAAGATGGATCGCTATAAGAATCCATGGCTCGAGTTAAAGATCCAGTATGGCCAGAATAAAGGAAAGTTATACAATGAAGAATGTGATCGTTTCATGGTGAGACTTCCAGTCACATTAAGCTCTTCTAAGTTATATCTATTTTCTTCCCTTTCTAATAATCTGACTGATCACCTTGTATTATCATCGTTCATTTCCTCTCACAGGTATGCATGGTTCACAAGATCGGGTATGGGAACTGGGATGAGCTGAAAGCAGCCTTTCGTATGTCGCCATTGTTCCGTTTTGATTGGTTTGTGAAGTCTCGTACAACACAAGAACTTGCAAGAAGATGTGATACTCTTATTCGTTTAGTGGAGAAGGAAAACCAAGAACATGACGAGATAGAGAGACGAGCTCGTAAAGAGAAAAAACTGGCAAAGGTAGGTTGATCAACTCTCGCTTTCAATCCTCAGACGCTTAAGCATATTATGCTGTGGATGATGCCCATGGCCTCGACTCCCAGTAAGTTTAGCTTTTTTAACCTTTCTATTTTTTTGTTCACAACAGAATATGACACCATCTAAGCGTGCCGTGGCCAGACAGGCTGCTGACAGCCCCCCTCCAACCTTGAAAAAGCGGAAGCAATCATCAATGGATGATTATGTGAGCTCGGTATGTTCTTGTGGATATAGTTTCTACTTTTGCTTCTTTAGCAGCTTTGTTTGTTGAAGGTAAACCAGAGCTTGGTCTTTTGGCAGGGAAAGAAGAAGAAATGACGCGGTCTGCAAATCACTCCAGTTTTACTAGTCATCTTGGGACAAGAGTTCAACCTTCGTGCTATTATTATTATAATATAAACTGGCATAAATTTAGAATACATATAGCACAGGCAGTGTTGTCTGAGCTCTAGAATAGATATTTGGATGAGCTATCAAGGGATGTTTTGATTGTCCCCATCAAGGGCTGTTTACTTTGGACCTGACGGCCAAAAATTAGTTTTAATATAATTGTAAAGAAAGATTTACTATTCCCGTGTGCATCTCTCTTTATAAATTCTATTCTCGTCAGTTTAGTTTCAGAAGTGGGTCAGAAAGAATTGCTTGTTGAATTTGCCTGATTTGTAGGTCATAGTTCTTCAATATGTTCTGAGCAGGTAAAAATTTTACAATACCATCGAATACGAATAGGTTAAGATTGTGAGTATGGCTTGCAAAGTGTCCAAATGATGAAAATATTTGATGACGCCTAGCTCTATTTTGGCATATCGAAACAGAAGAAAACAGCGTTTGCAGGTGGATTTGGGGAGGGATCTGATTTATTGGTCTTAGCCATATGAAGATCACACCTCTTTCTATAAGCAAAAGAAATTTACTCAGCAAAGCCTTCCACATTGAACTCTACAACAATATAAAATGAACCAATGTAATGCCCCAGCGAAACCAAATTGAGGCTCTCTTACACGAGAATATTTACGGAGGAAAAGTGATTTTTTTTTTTCCTAGCATAACATTGATACACGGAGGTTCTAGGGCAACGAATCATTTGTACCATCGAAACTAATACCATCGTTCGCCCTCTTTCGTCCTCTCCAATTCTCACCCCACACTTTTGCCTCGGCAACTGCTCGTTCTCTGTCTAGATCCCGATTCCTTGGAGTTTCTCTACCTCTACCTGCACTATCAGGACTGTCTCTTTGAGAATCAGGACGCTCCTGCTCATCTAAACCCCATTTCCGGCCAGATCCACCAGCAGTTTCAATCCTCCGCAACTCTCCATTATTGAACTCCTTGAAAGAGTCTCTCTTCCTGAAATCTGGTGAGTTCTTGTGGATGGAAGGGGAACCGTGGTGGCTGTTGCGTCCAGACTCGTCCAGGCTATCAGTTCCAACAAACATATTTCTTCGTGCATCCCGATGCCTTGGAGTGGATGCATCGATTCTATTACTTTGGGGAGGATGATCATTAGGGTCGTATGCTTGGGATGCTAGATATGTCAACGCAGTAACCACATCCCCAATTAGGGGTCGTGTAGCAGCTTGCTCTTGTAGGCACATGGCAGCCACTGCTAGTGCTTGATAAAGTCCGCGCATAGGATAACGGCCTTGCAATAGAGGATCGGCCATCCTCGGAAACTTTCTTCGATCCCTGAAAAGTGGTCTTGCCTGGATCCATTTACACGAAACAAACAAAAGAAAAGAAAATATCAATCGCTGTCATTTCAACATGCTGTCCAATAAATCACCATGCAACTGCAAGTCGGGTATTTTATATACAACGATAAAAAAAACACAACGTACCCATGCAACAAGATTCTGCTCGCCTGGATCTCGCCTGTTATCAATTGCCTTGCGCCCTGTGATGATTTCAAGAAAGACAACTCCAAAACTGTAAACGTCAGATTTCAAAGTGAGTTGACCAGTCATAGCATATTCTGGAGCACAATAGCCATATGTCCCCATCACCCTCGTAGAAACGTGAGTTTTATCGCCAACAGGACCCAGTTTTGCAAGCCCAAAATCCGATAACTTGGGGAAATACCCCTCATCAAGAAGTATATTGGATGATTTCAAGTCTCTGTATATCACAGGAGGGTTGGCTTTGTCATGCAAATATTCCAATCCCTTGGCTGCACCAGCAGCAATCTTCATTCTTGTATTCCAGTCCAGAGGCTTTTTTTCCTGTGGAAGATCTGCACGTATATACCATGTCATTAATCAGGCATAGGTCTACAGAAAGAGGAATTGAATTCTCTTTTCAAGAAAAAAGGGCAAACATCATAAAGGATTATGCATTTATACTTGCAATTTTATTCCCACTTGACACCTTCTCAACTATTGTACTATGGAAACATCCAAGCGCGGAATCAATCCAGTTTTAGTCTATATTTTGAAATAGAGGACCGTACATATAAATCAGAGAAAAATACTCAGTCTCAGCCTAACTAAAGGATTAGCCTGTGAATCTTAAATGAGGCCTAAAATATACCCCAACGACATCCATGGATTTGATATTCATTCCAAACACAGAGCCTTGTTTTGTCAAATATCATATAAACAGGAAAGAGAGTTCAATGTTAATTAAATAAATAAATAAAGATTTTTTTATTTTTTATTTTTTTAAAATCTCATGAAGAAATAATTTCACAAGAATAATGCCACTAATAAGTGCTTGTTTAAAATTTGGTCTCTCATCTCTCTCCAAGGAATACAATCAACTTTCTATTTCATCTCTATTTTCTCGTGTCATCGGTGGAGAATCAGGACTTTTGCAAGTAAACTTTCCTGCTGCTAACAGATGTAGAAAAGATACTGAGGCAAGGTATGACTGTTATGGTCTAGTACAATCTCTACGAGGTACAAAGTGAAGATTCTAACACCACAGACACTATAGCTTGGGCTCCATTTTAACGAGTTTTTAGGGAAAAATGTATTTTCGAATAGTGATTTTTGGAAAAAAAGAATAAAAAGTTTTGGGTTTACGTATAATATTATTTTATTGGAGAATGTGGTTAAATAAAGGAGAGAGAAAAATGCATTTTAAATTTAATGGAGCCCAAACAAGGGCTGTATGTGTTGGATGGAGTACTGGATAGGACTAGAGATTTTAATTTCGTTTCTTCTATCTTTCTTAATAATGTCCAGTGCTATCCACCCAACAATCTTTGCCAGATGTTTCTTGCTTGCAAAGTTACAGAAACAGATATTTGTATGCTTCCAAAGGAATTATGCAGCCCCAAATGTTGATAAAGTTATACTTCTATTTTTTGGGGAAAAGAACAATGTACTGACTAGCACAAATTTTGCAGAAGTTAGCAGCACAAGTTCAGACACTACAAATTCCAAAATAGCCCAAAATCACGAAATCAAGCACAAACCTAAAAAATGAAAAGCTAAATGGTCCCCTGTGATTCTTAATGTTGTTCACCATTTTTCATATTAATGATGTCTTTCTGATTCACATTAGCTTGACAGCAAGGTCACCAAATTCATATGTACCATACTGACCACGAGTTGCCAGAATTTTCTGATTCACATTAGCTTGACAGCATGGTCACCAAATTCATATTTACCATACTGACCACGAGTTGCCAAATTCTGGCAACAAGCATCCCACAAATGAGTTGCATGATATTACTATTTTAGCAATGCAATTGGGAAATAAGTTTATATCTTCTTGTTTTTTATTTAACATTTGAAATTATGGCTTCAAAACCTTTTTCTGCACCAAATTTCCATGCAACGCACTTAGGAGTACTCCATATCAAAGATTTTAACAATCACCAAAGCTGCAACCAGTATCATCCGTTCTTTTATTTTATCCCCTTCAATTTTTCAAATGGAATGGTAGTTAATTGTAATCTCTAATACCGGGAACACCGAACACCATATGAGAAAAGGGATCATATGATACCGGTAGTCAAGTTGAAGCAAATATTTTGAGGGGTGTAGCCAAATGTAACTGTTACTATTACTAGAATAAGCCATTCTACTGTCTCCATAGCCACCCGCAGCAGCAGTTACTTAATAATTGAGTCGGAGGTGCTCTTTCCTGCTTGAGGTCGAAAACTTTTCTAATCCCACCATTTCTGACCCTCCTTCATATCCATTAGCCTGGTGAGACACTTTTGAACTGCATCCGGCTACCTTCTCCACAGCATTCAGTTAGCAAGATTTGCACTCACACGCCATGGGAAATTGCTAGAAAAATGTGTCTCCACCTTCATTATGTCCCTTTTGATAAGTTGACATTCTTTCTCTATAGTACTAAATTTATCAAATGAAAAAGAGTTTTTCTAACCAAGTCTACCAAGCTCACACCTCTCCTATTGAAGTAAGCTTTTTTTAGGTCTATGAAAAATATGAGCCAACCATCTAATCACCAATGTCTCCATTAATTCTACCATCACTTTTTCGGTTATATTCTTATTTCTTATCTTCCACTAGCATGGCCATCTATCTATCTTAAACACTCTTCATTTCAGGCACATTTATCTTGTGTAAATTTTGTACCAACTCAATGTACAGTTCCCTAATGTACAGCCAATCCAATAGCCATTGAGCACAACTGCCTTTTAACTTGGTAGATATTTGGATCACGTAAAATTCTTGTAGCACGTATCACTTCTGCATGTCGTCCAACACGCTTTAGTCTTTTGAATTACACTGTCTTGAAGTCTTATTTCCTCGTCAATAATCAAACTTAAATGACTAAAAACTCTCATTCTTTATGACAACACGATTGTCTTTGCATCTCCACTATAATACCTTTATTATATTACACGTAAAAGAACATTCTAAGTATTCACTTTTAATTCAATCTAACCCAAACCTTACGGCTTCCAAACTCTTGACTATGGTGGCTTGTTAATTAATTCGGCTTTACGATGGAAAATTTCTACTATTAACCAAACTGTTTCAAAGCTATAATAATTCGATATATTCCCATCATCATATCATAATTTACAATTATGTCATCTATGTATAAAACAAATTAAGAGACCTCATGTTTTATTTTGTATATTTTTTGCAAGCTCATCCATAAATAAATCCAATGGATAAGGTCCCTTGGCTAGAGGTCTCAACTGGCCAAGCTGCCTAGGATCGGCATCACCCTTGTCATACCTAGCTCCCAGTTGGAGGCTCATTGACGTAGGAAGTATTTAACAAGAACAAGAGTGAGAAAGGAAAGAGGAAGAGAGAAGAGAGGGGAGAAAATATAGAAGAATTTAAAGGGAGCAAATATAAGTTTCAATTCAGAGCTTGTTTGTGAGGAATTAAAATCCAAATAAAATTGAAAATATAGTCGTTATTGGGTCCTACTCGTCTAAGAAAAGTTAACAATATCTGCTAATTTTTCAATTTTAATCCGATTTTAATCTCTACAAAACAAGCTCTCAATGTCAAAGAGTATTAAAATGAATAGATCCTATTTATATGGACTCTATTTAAGCCTGACTTGAGAAGGAAACAAGTAAATAAAACTTAATTTAGTCAAACTAGAATACTAATATAAATTAAATTTCTTTCTTCTATCTTGATTCCCCATCACTTGAGCATGCCTTTTTTAATTTCTTTTGTTTTTTTCCAAAAAATTAAACAAAGTAAGCTGCATGTATTTGGGTGTCTGTGTGGGGAGGGACAGGCCATTTCACGCCTCTACACAGGAAAGAATGTGGTTGCAAGCATGTGGTAGTAGGTAAATTTCCATTACTACCCAAACTAGAAATCACACTGTGACTGCTCCATAAACATCATCAAAATATAAGTATATTTAATAGAAATTCTTTTTTACTCAGACATCCACAATAGCACTTATCTGCGCATCCTATCATAAGCTTATCCTAAATTAACAAAAGTCATGCATATTTTGCTTCTCTTTTCTATAGTTCACCATCAATGTCATGAAGTAGGTACATGACAGTGGAAAGTACAGAAAAGTGTTTTTGGCTGGGCAAAACTAACCATGTAAATGGTCTTCTAGAGATCCCAATGGCATATACTCATACACAAGAAGCCGTTGATCACCATCAGCGCAATATCCTATCAAGTTGACAAGATTTGGATGGTGTAAGAGGCTAAGCATGAGAACCTCCACCAAAAACTCTCTATTCCCTTGAAGACCATTTCGATCAAGCTGTTTAACAGCAACCACCTGCACACATAACGGATTCCCAATAGAAGTTATTGAAGGGAAGATTGAACATATCGACCAAAATTCCAAGATAAATAAAGCATGGATGGAATTCATCTTCCATTTGACGAGTTTACTGATAACCAAGGATGACCTACCTGTCCTGTGCTTTCCAATCGACCTTTGTAAACATGTCCAAACCCACCTTCACCCAGCAAACACTCCGGTCTAAAGTTCTGCGTTGCAGATGCAAGCTCACGAAATGTAAATGTTTGTGCAGCTATACGTGCTAGTGGCTCTTCAGGAGTTGCTGCTTCCTTCTTAGGTTCATTACCACTTCGAGCTTTTGATTTATCTGGAATGCCAAAAGAGTTAACAGGATAATTAAAAAGAAAATAGTGAACAGGGAGCTGTAAACGATTGACATATCTAAATCTAATACAATTTTCAAAGCAATCCACAAATAGAACCCTCTGGGGCGAGTTTTTCTAAGTTATTCTTACATTCTAATTCCTTAAAATTCCAGTCCACTATTGCAGAGATAATCTGAAATCACAAAGCAATGACATGCCATTTTATAAAGAATTTTTTCACTTTATAATTGCAGAATTAAAGAACGCATTCTGATCAATAATTCACAGTCTGGACTTATTTGCTCAGAGATGGCCAAAAAAAAATAGTCAAGGATGCAACAGTTACTAGAATTTCGTTCTGTGATGTTCTAATAAAATTCATAAAATCAATTGAGGTTAAAGCATTCCAGGATCACTAACTAGAGGTGAAAATTTCCATAAAAAAGCTAAAAATACACCAAGAATTCCTGGATATCAAACAACAGAAAAGCTAAAAGTAATCCCCAAACAAAAATTCCTTTAGGATCCCCACTACTCCTATTAGACCTAAATTACACAATCCTAACAAATTAAAGAGAGAGAAAATCAGATCGAGATAAAGAAAATAATTTTTACAGCAAATATAAGATTGGTGCTATATTCAAAATTCAAAGCACAATTATGGATCTAAAACCTAGAAAGTAAAATTGTCCAAACTTGAAATTATTACCTGAACTGGTTCTGCTCACATGGTTACGAGACTGAACTACTGAACCTTCTTTAAATGACTCCTTCTTTTCCACTTCTTTTACACCACTGACATTATTTTGTTCCTTTTTTGACGATCCAAAGCATGGAAAACAGCCCATCTCTAATCAAAACAATGAAACGCAAAATTATGAATCTATCAATATCTATCTATGCGTTCATATAAATATTTTCACCACCAACTATGTTTTTTCAGCTTTTGCCGACAGCCCATCTCATGAAAATCCTAATTTTGAACTATTTTTATCTGTGAATCCAATCAGCTCAACAGCAGATCAACGCGCTGATAATTTTGAGCCAAAAGAAGATAAGTGAATCGAGAAAAGAAAAAAATTGCAATGAAATATTAATTACGGAAAATTATACTGCTGTAGCCTGTAATTGTATGAATGTCTGCTTGATTTTATACATGGAAAGAAAGAATTGTGAGTGGTAAAAGTCAAAAAAGGAGATTTATCTTTTGGTAATTTAAATTCCGTAGGAGCGTAATTATATGAATATTGTTCGCATAATCTTCTTTGAACTGTTAGTCTAAACTCTAAACATTGGGTATAGAGGCTTCCAACTTTTTGTAATATAACGAGTTAGTCTCTACTTTTACATGGGTCGTCTCAAGCGTTCTCAACATCGTAGATATCACGATTTTTTGACTTGATAGTTAGAAATGTAGTTGTTTATTAAAATGATACACGTACTCTGATTTCAATTAAAAAATAAAAGAAAAAAATGTTATATTTTCATACATCATCCTCCAAATCAAGATTTGTCTGCGAGTGCCCGAGGGTGGTTAGATGAGAAAGAATTCTTTCTCCGAGTCAGCTTCTTGGGATTTCTTCTTTTCGCAAATATGCACATTGAGAAGCCGCCACTAGAATGAGGAAAATGAGCTTAAAGGCAATTTTTAAGGTAAGGACATGGGGTGGTGAAAAGAGAGCCGAAATCGAGTTGGTTGGTTGAATTTGAGCTTAGAAAAGTAGGGGGTTTGCACACAAATAAGGCTGAGTTTGAAGGAGCAAGCATGAAAAAGATATTCAAGAAGCGATTGGGGTGAGAATTTGGGTTAATTCTACCTTTCAAAGAGTTGGATATGTGAAAATAAGTGCCCTTAGAACAATAATCAAGTCGACAACGGAACACCTTGTTACAAACTTAAAATGTTGGGTACGATTAGTGTAAAATTTATGTTGGGGGTCAATTTATTACATCATAAAATGGTCGAGGACTTCTAGGACTATGCATCCTAAAATGTTTATATATAACCTCGTAAATCTACCTTGGATACAAATGTAACAACAAAAAATATTTATGAGTTATTCACACTGATACCTTTTTGAGCATGACGGGGTGAAATAGAGTTACAAAATGTGTGAATGCATGTTAATTATGCTTATGCAGTTTGAAAAACATAAAACGTTACCTACAAAACGTGATCGTAAATGAAGTTTCATCACGATACTTTACGAATTTGGCAACCAAATGCACTAATGGAGGGAGGGAGCTTGTGCTCCTTGAATTCTAGATTTTCTTATAATTTGTTTTTCTAAAGAAATTATTAGAAATTCAGTTTCATATCGACAATGTCTTTGAAGACTGAGCAGTTAAAGTTTCACATTTCTAACTTGTAGACTAAATTTCTACGGTCAAATTATTATTTTTCTGTTTTTCTTTGAGACATTTGCTTAACTTAGTCCTTAACCTTTAATGCCTCCAATAATTTCATCCTCGACCTTTAGAATCAAACTTTTCAATCGTAAACATTTATTTCCTTTTGCACATTTCATCCTTTTCACATCGTTTCGTCAACTTCAACGTAATAATATTCTCTCGCAAGATGCACTTGTTAATTCTTCAAAAGGGTAAGTTAGCAAAATACTATGCTTAGCCCCTGTTTGATACGCATTCTTTCAAAACTCATTTTCAACCACACATTTTTCAATAAAATAATATTTTCCATCACATCAATAATATTTTCTTACTTTTTAACCACGTATTTCTCATCATATCACTATTTAACATACATTATTTCATCAATAATATACATCAAACACTCCCTGAGTATCTAATCTCATATTTTAGACTTTTAACATTTTATTCATATTCAATTTCAAAATCTTTACGAAATACACTTTCTTCTTTTACGCTTAAATTAAGTCAAAATTTGGTTGAAATGCACAACCATTTACCAAGAAAGTGTGCATAATATTTGAAAAGGAAGACTCTTGTCATGACGATGAGTCTTTAAAATTTGTAAGGTAATAATTGTGTAATATCTCACTCATTGTGAATGAATTTTTTGTATATGTTTAATTTATTTCGTATTTATGTGCATGTATATGATTTCCACTTATTTTTCCGATCATTTTGATCGGGTTTTGTCTAATGAGAACTATTTTTGGAACAGTAATGAAAACTCGATCGTTTTAAATAAAATTTCATGAATTCCTCTTTTATGTTTACTTCACTATATTAACCTAAAGTTGATTACTTTTGTGTTCTTTCAATAAAATTTCGGTATGGAATAGTAGATACCTTGTACATAGATAAACAATGGAGATGAAAGGCCAACACAAACATTTTTTTTCCTGAAATTTATATTTCTAAAATAAAGTAATCTTAAATCAGAAAAATACTAATGTGGGAACAAAATGTAAGAAATCTGGGTGTGTTTGTCTTCCATTATTGGGAGAAAAATAGAGAAATTGGGAGAAATGAATAGTATTTTTTTGAAGAATGTGTGGTTGAAATTTAGGGGCTGTTTGTTTTTTATTCTCAAATTTTACAGTAAATCAGTTATCATTTTCAACCACATATTCTTCAATAAAATAATATTTTTTATCACATCAATAATTTTTTTTCTTTTTCAACCACACATTTCCCATCATATCACTATTCAGAAACCAATTCTTCCCTCAAAAATCCATACCAAACAAGCACTAATTATATTTTTGGCTCCCACGTTTACAAACAAACTAAAAATATTTAAAGTATTTGGGAGAAATTTATAATTGATTTAGGCACCGTTTGGTAACCATTATTCTAGAAAAAAATGCATTCTTTGTGTCAAATCACACTTTTTTTGTGGTTGAAAATGAAGGAAAAGTTATTGATGTGATGGAAAATATTATTTTATTGATAAAAAATCAATTCTCATTTTCAATCGCACATTTTTCAATAAAATAATATTTTCCATCACGTCAATACTTTTTTTTCTTTTTCAACCACACATTTCCCATCATATCACTATTCAAAAATCAATTTTTCCCCCAAAAATCTCTACCAAACAAGCACTTAAAGTAATTTTATTGGTTTGTGTGTAGAATATTTTATGGGGTGAATGTGTAGTGGAAAATCTTACTGTAGCAAACAATTTTTTGAAATAATGGTAGAGGGCATAAATGCACGTGTGCGCGAGCGCGCGCGGAAAAAATTGTTGGGAAGAGTACTAATTTCTTGAGTAATACCTCCATTATTATTTGTATCTACCCATGTACTATGGAAAAACACCTTAATTAAATTGACAACGAATTTGTTTGGTACAATTATTTTCAAATCTGAAGAAATGTATCTATGTAACTGCTCGTTATAAGGAAAGGAACATCTCAAAATAAATAAGTATGTTCTTATTGTAGGAAAGAACGTCGAGAAAGTAAAGCGATTTTTTTAATTTTATTTTTAATATATAGCTTGAAATTTATTTTTCCATATGAATAAAAATCATTAAGAGCTGAAAATATGTACAAGTTATTTTGCTTAATACAATAATTATGGGTACGATTTCATCTAATTATTTTGCTTAAGCTCCTGTTTGGTAGGAATTAAAATTTAAATTTAAATTTAAATCAAAGTCAATAATTAATTTTAACCAGATATTTTATAGGATCCACAACTTTTAGCTTGTATCAATTATAAGTTTGTAGATAATCGATGAAGCTGCTTAATTAATGCTTGAATATATACGCTACTTATAAGTTTATAGGTAGTCTATAAAGTTGCTCTAATTAGTGCTATAATATATACGTGAATAAAAATTTGATCAACTATATCATACACTTGTGAACAGTAGTCAACGTTGAACGAGTGTTGCATGTAATTTATTTAATTTCTAGTTAAGTAAAATTGAATATTAATTAATATACATGGATGTGAATAATGACATACATTATTGAATGTGAAATTCAAATTAACTTATAATTACAATTAATAACACTAAAACAAATAAATAAAGATGAATATTAATTAAATGAATGTGAATGCTAATTAAATGAGAATTAATAATAGAGAATTCATACATTAATAAATTGAAATGAAATGAATATATCAAATATATATGTACATTGATAATAACTAAATTGTTAAATAAATTAAATACATATTGAAAAATCAAAAAATAATGTATTGTTGAAATAATTGAATTATAGTAAGATTAAAATCGTCCAAAAAATGATTATCACTTGATGTGATAAATATATTATACTTCATCCGTCACATTTATATAAACTTATTTTGTTTTTCACATGGATCAAGAAATCTTATTTAATGTTATTGAAAAAGTAATTTTTGTCAAAAAAATTCATAGTTTACCCTTATTTAATTATAAACAACTAATAGTAAATTGGTTACAATTAGGCGAAATTAAATAAATGTACATTAGTAAACGAACAAAATAAAATATTCTCAATAAAGAAATATGACTATATAATTGAGACAATAAAACAAAGAAAGTCAGCCTATATAAATTTCACATAGTATTATAATTTAGATATTTATATTTACACCACAATTTTTTATAATTGCACAATCTTATTACATTGAAAGTCCCCAATTTTTTTACTTTCGCACATATCTTTTAGCTTTTTTTGTCGTATTCTTATCTTTAACTTTCAATTAATTAACACACCTTTCAATGTTTTGTTAGCTTGTGGAGAATATTTTGTCGAACTTTCATATTTGTTGTTTATTTCGCTTATTTAAAATATGAGGGACATGTGAATCTTTTTAATGTTATTTTCATGAATATGATGTGTTAATTAATAGAAAGTTCAAGAAAAAATGACGAAAGAAATTTAGAAAACATAAGTGCGAATTTTTTTTTGATAATGTT